CACCTGCTGGAATCCCTGGTGTTGGAGCCTTGGGATTCCAACAGAGGTTGTTTCATCTGACAGGTCTGGGGAGGTGGGTCTGGGAAGGCCTGTTTGCTTTGAAAGATATAAAAAAAATTGTGTTCCGTTCTCCCATCAAAAGCCTCTGTTTTTTTTATGATCACAGGAGGCCCATTTGGGACTAGAACTGTCATCACGAGACAGAATTGTACCTTCAGCACAGTCCAGTGCCCTGGCCCCTTAATGTCTAACTGTTTTATTGCCATGGAGAAAAGAGGTTCCCAGAGACTCAGAGCTCTGTTTTAAAAAGACATGAATATCCTAATAGACTGCTGGCCACTGCAGGAATCACCAACTTGTTCTCCTCCTCCTTCTCCTCCTCCTCCTCCTTCTTCTTCTTCCTCACCTGAGGGTATGCTTTGACTGATCTTAGAGAGAGAGGAAGGGAGAGAGAAACATCAATCAGTTGCCTCCCATATATACCCCGATCTGGGATCGAACCCGAAACCTCAGTATGTGCCCTATACCTTTTGTATATGAATCAACGACCTTTTTGATGTATTGAATGACACTCCAACCAACTGAGCAACCCTGCCAGGACTGACCGACTTTTCTTGATGATATACACTCCATTTTTTAGATAGTGATTTGGGTCCATGTCCCTGAGACCCCACCCTCCTTGAACCTTAGTTTTCAGGTTCCTTTTAAGCCCTTCTGTTTGCTTTTTGGATCAGCTTGGCACAATTTTGATTCAAAGAACAGAGTTAATCCTTCACTCTAAGCACTAGAACTTGCAAATGAGCTCACTGGAAATTCATTCTAATCCCCAAGTTGGGGGAACAGATTAAGAGATCCTGTTTCAGATGCTGTATTTAAGCAACAACAATGGTAACAGAGTAACTGCATTACGCAATGTGCTTTATTTTCATCATATGATTTCAAAACTCTTTATAGAGTTTTATTTCATGTCAGATGTGGCATACATATTGTGCTTGTACTTCTCAGCAGTTTGAAATTTGATAGTGGATTTAATTTTCTTAGAAAAGTTATGGCTAGAAGAGCTAAAATTCAAAGCAGATAAAAAAGACTTGGAAAATTACAAGATTTGTTTCTGCTTAGATTATTGAGGATAAATATAAGTGCATGTTGGTGTGTGCAAAGCTCTGTGCCTTAGGGTCACATGTGATAGTTCAGCTCCCTAGTATGAAAGGAAGATGGGAAAATACAAGCATATTTGTGGAAATTTAGAACACATGTATCACTTGCTCATGAGCACTAATAACCTTAGCAAAGCTCTCAATTTAATCTAGTTCAATTCAGCAAACACTCAAGGAGTTCTTTATGTTTGTCAAGCCTTGAGGACACCAATGAATAAGACAAATCCCCACTATGAAGACACTGAATAAACAGGTAAATAGGCCACTTGAAAATATTATAATTTTTCTTTTCATAAGTTGGCAAAAGAAAAAAGAGATGTATGTACAGTTATGAGGCTGCATCCACGTCTTTATTGTCTTTCCGAGTGGTCTCTCTGGAAAACTGTGCATTTAGGTCAACGATGAGGTCACTGCTTACGTGTTTGTCTGTCTTTGACATTGCCCTCGGAAACTATTTCTGAGCTATAATCATATTCCAGAAATGGTTTCAGGGAAGAACTCCCAAAAAGGATATCCAATGGCAGCATCACAGCCATACATGAAGAGCCACCTCAGAAAGAGAACAGTTCTTGTCATGGCAGTCCTTTAAGGAGAGAAGCCAGCAAATTTTGAGCCTACCAGTGCTAGGAAAGAGAAGATTCAGGATCTCTGTGTTATAAACTTGGTTCTAAATGCAGGACCCAAGTTTCAGGACGAGTTCAGAACACACAAATGAAGGCAAGGAAAGAATTTTATATAATGTTTATATCATCAGGTATGCAGGTGACTTGGGGTAGAATTCTCAGGTGCCTGGCTCTCAAGAAATAGGGATTCTCGATAATGGCATGGGTTAGTGGGCAGATATATCCGTTAAGATGACCCAGAGTTCTGCACTTGAAGCTGCCAGTCTGTAGCTTTTAGGGAAAGGGAAAAGTCCAAGTTATGTTTTAGAAACTTGATAAGTACAAATGTCTAGGCTCTAGCCAGGGATAGAAGCTCTTAAGATCTAATTTCCATTCTCAAGTAAACAAATATCTAGTGTGTTGCAAGTTAACTGTCATAATCCATACCACCAGCAGGGGAATGAGGCAGATTGGTGCCCTGTGAGCCACAGCAGATTGGCTCTTGAGGCAGGTCCTGTGTGTGGACAGAGCACCTCTGGAGGGGAGGAAGAGGATGAGGCAGGAGGAGTCAGGTCTGAGAAAAATGATATCAGGATCCCTGGAGTCTGTGAGCCTGACTCCATTCTCAAGAAGGGAAAGAGGTGAATAAGGGGGGGGAAGGGGGGGGGGGGGGTGTTCTAGCCAAGGGGGTTCCAGGAAGGAATCCACTTCTTAGAAATGAGTCACAAGTTAAAGCAGGACTAGCAATCAGACCCATGGGCTCTGGGGCCTCTGAGCTGCTTGGCTGGGGCTCCTACCTAACTGGACCTAGAGAGAAGGAGGCCCAGAGGCTCGGGTGGGACTTGAAGGGCAGGTTAATGGACCCCAGTTGACAAGGCTGGTCTAAAATGGGCATGGAGCTAAGCTCACCCAGTCATCAACAGGTAACTGTTCTCTTAGCTCTCATCACACTCTGCGGTCAATGACTTCACCCCCCCTCCCCCCACACACACACCTTGAACCAGGGGTCCTCAAACTTTTTAAACAGGGGGCCAGTTCACTGTCCCTCAGACCGTTGGAGGGCCGGACTATAGTTTAAAAAAAAACTATGAACAAATTCCTATGCACACTGCACATATCTTATTTTGAAGTAAAAAAACAAAATGGGAACAAATACAATATTTGTATTTGCATGCGGCCTGCGGGCCGTAGTTTGAGGACCCCTGCTTGAACCCAACGCAAACTATGCTCTCAGGGAAATACAAATACGCTTTGCTTATAGCTGTGAAAAGTGTAGCTTTCCTATTTATAAAAGTCTTCGAGGTACTGTTGTTATTTACTTATCCTACTTGATTTTGAAAAAGAAGAATACTCAATAGAATTTTCAAAGTGGTTAGACACCACTGGGATTTCTTGTATAAAGTTCTAACTTGGGGTTGCAAAATAATTTTGTCCCTTAATATCTGACCTAGATGTTGTAATAAATCTCATAACATGAAGAGTCAATCTTCATGGAAACCCACAGATATTTCAAACATGTCTCTGCAAAACCAGTTTTGAAAGGTTGGATTTTCATATTCATAGGTAAAAATAGCCCACACTTAGTTAACCGAATCCTTTAAGTATTTTGGTTACATAGATTTGTATTTTTTTTAATGATCAAATTAAGGATATTGTTTTTGGTAAATACACAAATAAAGTTTTTATTTATTCAATAAAATGTGTGTGGAATGAATAAGATTATGTTGTACACAATTACTAGGTGATTTTTTGGGCGTGTTTTGGTTGACATGAGTAAGTGGTATCTGAATAGAAATTAATTTAGGAGATAGAAATTTAAAACATTTCAGTTGGTTCAAGAGGATTTAAATAAATTCATAGGATAAACTCATAAGGTTTGGTCTATAGAATGGCAAAAAGTAGACAGCGTTTCTCTCCTGAGCCTTTCAATGCCGCTCTGAGCAAGCTTTACCAACCCATGCCAACTGTGATTCTCACTCTGCCTGGTCTTAACTCTTGTTACAGGAGTCTCCCCTCTGGCTTTCTGACTTCTGGTCTGACCTCTCAGCCTTGTGTCAGCCAACCAGCATCACCATGTTGTCTCTGCAGCCTTATCTGACCTGTGCTTCTCAGATCAGAGCCCTGGAACTTGGCATAGGACACAGAGCTGTGGTTCTCAACCACTGGAAACTTGTCATCAATTTACCTTGTTTTGGATTATGATGAAAAGGTCCTATGCAATTGAAAAAGAAAATCCGAGGCTTTAAGGAAATGTGGGGTCATGGGAATAGCTTTAGACCATTCCACCGGGGCCTCCGTAGAAATAGAGGTTACTTGCTGCTTCTGGATGGAAGCCCTTGGGAAGCAGTGCCCCGTCTCACAGTGGGTGCATTCTGGAGTTCATCTTGGGCCATAGATCAGACAGCCAGTGTACCCGCTGTGGTGAGTCAAATGGAGTT